CAACTGTCTTTCGGGTTGCAAAGGTCGACAACAGGCTACACACAATTGGTTGGAAACCCACTCCAACCCGGGCTGATGAAGCACTTCCGCATTCCCCGCATGCTTCCCCACTGGAATGCTTTGCTGGAGTCTTCTTTATGGCCTCATAAATCAGTTAATTTAGCCTCCCCACACTTTAAGGTGGTACCTTATTTTCCTACTTGACAGATGCAACTGTCTTTCGGGTTGCAAAGGTCGACAACAGGCTACACAATTGGTTGGAAACCCACTCCAACCAGGGCTGGCTTCGAACTCATGACCTTTTGGTCAGAGTGATCTTAATGCAGCTGACACTCAGCCAGCTGCGCCACAATCCCGGTGCTCAGGTGGGCCTAAGGTGGGCACACGTCCCCGCTCATAGGTCCGTCCCCCCCCCCCACTGTCCCCTAGCACTTAATTCCTTTCTGCCCATTAAAAGCATTCTGACGGGACCCCCCGATGGGGCCGGCCTTGACTCTGGATCCTCCGCCCGGCGCAGGGGGAGCCGGGACCCCTTGGCGGAGGGTTACCTGGCCGCCCACCGTGGCGGTTCCCCCGGCAATCCCTCTCGTCCAGGTGACGGCTCCACCGTCTCCCTCTCTCTCTCTCCCTCTCTCTCCCCGGGGAAAGTTGTGCCAAACACAATAAAGGTGAAGCACATAATTAAAGTTTTGGAGGTATTAATTAGAAAATCTGAGAGCTCACTCGGAGAGATAAAAGAGGAGCAGATGTGTCGGCGATGAGAAGTTTGACATGCTCGAGATAAAATCCGAAATCAAAAGCCTCCGAACCGTTTCATGCTCCATTATTGCAGATTCATTCCTGAGTTCAAAGTCTGGCGCTCTACTTTATGCATTCGGTTTGATCATTTGGGCAATGATAGGGTGGGGGGGGGCTGAGAAGGCGGCGGCCGGGGGGGGGGGGGGGGTGAAAAAGGTTGGGGGGGGAAACAGGTGGAATGGTGGTTGCTGAATGGGTTAGTGAAGGACTGGTGGTATGCGTTGAGGTTGAGGGGGTGAAGGGGGGGGGGGGGGCTGGCGTGGCTTTCCCTTAAACCCTGCATTCCCATATCTCTTTCTCTCTACTCCAAATAATAATACATAAATAATATATTATATATAAATAAAAATGTCAGTGTTCGTTTGTGGGATTAACAGAACTCAAAAACCACTGGATGAATTGACACCAAATTTGGACACAAGACTCCTAACAACCCAATGTATGTTCTTCACTCAAAAAAAAATTTAATTTTGTCATTTGGGAGTTGTAGTGCTGGGATTTATAGTTCACCTACAATCAAAGAGCATTCTGAACTCCACCAACGATGAAATTGAACCAAACTTGGCACACAGTTCTCCCATGACCAACAGAAAATACTGGAAGGGTTTGGTGGGCAGTGTCCTTTGGTTTTGGAGTTGTAGTTCACCTACATCCAGAGATCACTGTGGACTCAAACAATGATGGATCTGGACCAAACTTGACACGAATATTCCATATGCCCAAATGAACACAGGTGGAGTTTGGGGGAAATACACCTTGACATTTGGGAATTGCAGTTGCTGGGATTTATAGTTCACCTACAATCAAAGAGCATTCTGAACCCCACCAACAAGGGAATTGAACCAAACTTGGCACACAGTTCTCCCATGACCAACAGAAAATACTGGAAGGGTTTGGTGGGCATTGACCTTGAGTTTTGGAGTTGTAGTTCACCTACATCCAGAGAGCACTGTGGACACAAACAATGATGAATCTGGACCAAACTTGGCATGAATACTCTATAGGGCAGTGGTTCTCAACCTTCCTAATTCCGCGACCCCTTAATACAGTTCCCCATGTTGTGGTGACCCCCAACCATAAAATTATTTTTGTTGGTACTTCATAACTGTAATTTTGTGACTTATGAATTGTAATGTAAATATCTGATACGCAGGATATATTTGCATTCACTGGATGAAATTTGGCACAAATACCTAATACATCCAAATTTGAATAGTGGTGGGGTTGAAGGGGTTGATTTTGTCATTTGGGAGTTGTAGATGCTGGGATTTGTAGTTAACCTACAATCAAAGAGCATTCTGAACCCCACCAACGATGGAATTGAACCAATTTGGCACACACCTCTCCCATGACCAACAGAAAATACTGGAAGGGTTTGGTGGGCATTGACCTCGAGTTTGGGAGTTGTAGTTCACCTACATCCAGAGATCACTGTGGACTCAAACAACGGTGGATCTGGACCAAACTTGGCACAAATGCTCAATAAGCCCAAATGTGAACACTGGTGGAGTTTGGGGAAAATAGAATCTTGGCATTCGGGAGTTGTAGTTGCTGGGATTTATAGTTCACCTTCAATCAGAGAGCATTCTGAACCCCACCAACAATAGTATTGGACCAAACCTCCCACACAGAACCCCCATGTGGGCCACAGCAACGTGTGGCGGGGGATGGCTAGTACTACAATAATTCTGGGGTTGAGAGCCATGGGCGGTGAGTTTCCCCAGAATTTGGGGCAGTTGCTTTTCTTAATTGCAAGGAATGAAAAGGTTTCGGAGACACAATCCGAAAAGGTTTCTATTCACACCTTTCATTCCTCGCAATTAAGGAAAGTAACCTTCCCAAACTCAAACCCAAACAGTGAATCCAAACTGAAGAAGACAGACAGGCCAAAGTCATGTCCCAGAGACATTCTGAGCATTCTGAACCCCGCCAACGATCGTATTGGGCCAAACCTCCCACACAGAACCCCCATGTGGGCCACAGCAACGCGTGGCAGGGGACGGCTAGTATATAGATATAGATATTAGGCTTGTTTGATCAAGAAAAAAATTGGTTCTAAACTCGCTTTGTTTCCAGGGGGCGCCAGCGTTTCGAATTTCTGAGGACTTCCGAAATTTAAGATTTCAAAATTTTGAAATTTATGAAATTTCGTTAATTACGAATCGATTCGTTAATGGCTGATGCGATTGCGCAATGCGCTAAAAACACCTCCAAACGGGACAGGGGGAACTTCTGAAATTCAGGATGAAATTAAAATACATTAAGTTAGTAAAAATACAAATTAAAATCACTTAAAATTAATTAAATAATAAAATAATAAAATAAATAATAAAATAAATAATAAAATAAGTAATAAGATAATAAAATATCTCCAGGAGGAGGAGGATGGGGAGGAAAGGCAATGCTGGCACCTTTTCTCTCCTTCTTTCCCGTCTTAATAATTACGAAATAATTACGAAAATTTGGAAAAATTGTTTCGATTCTTAATTACTCTTCACACTATTCCTGCATGGCTCGATATTGGATCGTAAGCTAATTTAAATACGAATTAATAACGACTTTAGAAACTAACGAACACGATCTAACAAGTCTAATAGATATAGATATTAGGCTTGGGCGGTTTCGTTCGTTAATTTCGTAATTCGTTATTAATTCGTATTTAAATTAGCTTACGATCCAATATTGAGCCATGCAGGAATAGTGTGAGGAGTAAATTAGATTCGAAACAATTTTTTCAATTTATTTCGTAATTATTTCGTTATTATTTTGTAATTATTTCGAAATTATTTCGTAATTATTTTGGCATGTCTGGTGCAAGTTTTATAGTTGTTGTTTGTTTTATCACACCAACAGTCAACAACAGAGGGAGAGGGAAGCTTCAGAAGTTCCCCTGTCCCATTTGGAGGGTTTTTTTAGCATATTGCGCAATCGCATCCGCCATTAACAAATCAATTCGTAATTATACGAAATTTCGTAAATTTCGAAATTTTTAAAAGGAAAATTTCGGAATTCTTTAAAAAAACGAAACGCGATGGACCCCTAAAAACGAAACGAGTTTAGAACCAAATTTTTCCGTGGTTACCCACGCCTAATAGATATAGATATAGATATTGATATAGGTATAGATATGAAGGAATATCTGGTGCTGCCTGTTCTTTATACATATTTGATGCTCCTTAAGATGGTTCCCTTTTGCAGGTCAAGCGCCTTCTCGACCTGGGGAGATGCGTATGCCTTCCTTAATTGCTCCCCCCACGAAAGGGAGAAGGGCGAGCGCTTTCCGCCCCCTCCCTTCGCCTTCCTCCGTTGGGGCCGTTCAAGGGGACGTGATGGATGGAGCCCGGGCCCCGGCCGAACATTAATATTTATACATCACAAAAGACATTGACTTCATTTTAAAAGAAATCTCGCTAAAATCTCCCATGCATCCAACGTGATATTTAGTCGTGACATTCTCGTTCCCTTTTGTATTTATTACTGGCTTAGAAGTAGTTTTATGTCCTGCTGGGATGTATTGATGCCGGGGAGAATAATGAAGTTAACCGCTCTGGAGAGAAAGAGAAAGAGAAGAAGAGGAAAAAGGGAGGGAGAGAGGGAAGGAGTGGGGGGAACGTATTCATCTGCTGTTGATATTTAGTCTGTTCAGCGCAGCGGGGTCCCTCCATCGGCCCCTAATTTTTTCGGATTTCTCTCTTTCAAAAAAGCCATAAGGAAGACAAAGCGCTATTGTCGGTCTTATCCTTTTGCAAACGGACCCCAAATCGTGCATCTTGTTTGTTTGCTTGTTTGTTTGTTTGGAGGGCTAGAATTTTTTATATTTCTATCTTTATTTCTTCTTGCAGGGTTTTTCCTATTCCATCTCACGCTTTTGCATCTCTGACTAATGCTTTACGCTGCTACGCCTTGTGTCCGCTCGTTCGCGGGAAGGGAGGATTCGTGCCCGGAAACACGGCTCCGTCCAATTAATTCAGAGTCGATCCGGACTCAGATTCGGGCATAACCTCCTCTTCTTCCTCCTCAAGCTAAAGCCTAAAAAACACCGACGCAGGGGCATATAACCTCCATCCTTTGTTTTGCTTCTTTGTTAATTTTATTGACCAGTTTTGCGTCCTGCTCATTGCTTTTAATTTGCTTATGTTTTGTTTCTGTTTCCTTTTCTTTTTGTTTTCCTCTTTGTTGTTTTGTTTTATGTCTTTCTCTAGATTCCCCCACAACTCTCCCTCCACCCACAACAACCACCTTCACTACCATCCCTACCACCACCACCACCACCGCCACAGGTACGGTACTTTCATAAACATGGGGTCAAAGAACCCAGATATGTTTTTATTTATCTCTGTCGAAAGGGGGGACGACCGAGGCGGGAGAGGGAATAAGAGTCCAGAAAGGGAGGAACTCCCACCTCATTTGTCCCATTATGGATTTATTTTGTCTGTTTTTGTTTCGCCAACTTGATGTGTCCAGAAAGCAGTCAAAGTTGGGAATCCCCGGAAGGTTTCCCCTACCGCTAACTTACAGGGATGTAAATATATCCGAGGCGGGAGAGGGAGTAAGAATCCAGACAGGGAGAAACTCCCACCTCATTTGTCCCATTATGGATTAATTTTTCTGTTTTTGTTTCGCCAACTTGATGTGACCAGAAAGTGGTCAAAGTTGGGAATCCCCGGAAGGTTTCCCCTACCGCTAACTTACAGGGATGTAAATATATCCGAGGCGGGAGAGGGAGTAAGAGTCCAGAAAGGGAGAAACTCCCACCCCATTTGTCCTATTATGGATTTATTTTGTCTGTTTTTGTTTTGCCAACTTGATGTGACCAGAAAGCGGTCAAAGTTGTGAATCCCCGAAAGATTTCCCCTACCGCTAACTTACAGGGATGTAAATATATCCGAGGCAGGAGAGGGAATAAGAGTCCGGAAAGGGAGAAACTCCCACCCCTTTGTCCCATTATGGATTTATTTTGTCTGTTTTTGTTTCGCCAACTTGATGTGACCAGAAAGCGGTCAAACTTGTGAATTCCCGGAAGGTTTCCCCTACCGCTAACTTACAGGGATGTAAATATATTCGAGGCGGGAGAGGGAATAAGAGTCCAGAAAGAGAGAAACTCCCACCCTATTTGTCCCATTATGGATTTATTTTGTCTGTTTTTGTTTCGGCAATTTGATGTGACCAGAAAGCGGTCAAAGTTGTGAATCCCCGGAAGGTTTCCCCTACCGCTAACATACAGGGATGTAAATATATCGCTATTTCAGCCTTGGTTAGAAGGGTGGATCATTTCTGTAGGTTTTTTCTCCCCAACTGTAGGAGAAAACAAATATTTCTGTTCTCTTCATACATCTTGGAAGTATTTTGGGAAATTACTCTGTACAGAGAAACACACATTGGGGTTTTGCATGAAAAATGTATGCAGAAAAGTGTGTTTTTGAGGCGCTCTTCCATCTCCCGGTTTGCAAAAACCAGTGTATTCTCTATATATCTATCAAAACTCCCCAATGCTTTTTCTTGAATCAAATGTGTGTTTGTGTGTATGTCTGTATTGATGATTCAGGAAACTGTCTTGGGCCTATTTTTGCATGAAAAAAATATTTGAAACCAAAAAATACAATTTTGTATGCAGAATATTCTGTTTATAGTGTGATTGCGCTGGGGATTTTGTACAGAAATGGTATGGATTTGCAAATAAACTCCAGCCTTGTACAAAATCTTTATCTTTTTTCCATCTATGTGAAAAACATGCTTTTTGTGGGGAGAAAATCCCTTTCATGTGTGTTTCTACACAGAATAATTTCCCAAAACACTTCGAGGTGTGCAAATTCTGGAGAACCGATGGGTGGGAGACCTCCAAATCATCACCAGTTCTCCTCAGATCTCTCAACCTCATGGCAGCCATGACTTCTTTCACTGAGTCAAGTTGACTTAACTTATGGAGAATAATTTCCCAAAACACCTCGAGGTGTGCAAATTCTGGAGGACCGATGGGTGGGAGACCTCCAAATCATCACCAGTTCTCCTCAGATCTCTCAACCTCATGGCAGCCATGACTTCTTTCACTGAGTCAAGTTGACTTAACTTATGGAGAATCTCCATAAGTTTCCAAAAGTCTCACCTTTATATTATTGGTCTCAAATAGGTTTCCCATTTGTTGAGAAACCCCTTATTCAGTTGGGGGTGGGCAAGGGGCAATGACAACAACTGTTCTTTCCATTCCCTACCATTGGATAGCTTTCCTCTTAATGGAGATGCTGAGAATCATTTGAGAGAACAATCCATTCAAGCTGAAGGAGTCCTTAAGTGACTATGGGCCAAATGGGATCTACCTCAATTCAGATTAATACCCCCCCCCCTCCCTTTAAAGGACCTAATTCTTCCTTTTGGGTTTCCAGGGGTGCATCTGTGGCCTCTTTCTTCACACCAGAGAAGCAATGGGGTCTCCTGTAGCCATGAAAATGCCTCGTTTGTGTAACGCTTTCCAAAATTAGCCCCTTCCCAATGTTAAATCCCTTGTCCCCACAAGAAACCAAAGTGCCTCCCACAAAATGCCCGATGGTTTTGTTTTATCCAACCCTCCCTTTCTTTTGCCGCTGGTCCATCTCGTCCTCCAATAACAGATAACTTTCTTTCTTCCAGCTGCCACGTCCATCCATCCATCCTCCATTGTCATCTCCACCCCCTGGTTTGCTTCCATTTGCGGTCTTCTCTCCCATTGTGCCCATTATTCTCCCCATGCTTTTCAGTTCAGAAGTGGTGCGAATCTGAACCCGGTACCGGAGCGGAGAAGTGCCGTTTTCCCATCCTGGTTGCGATATCCCCTTTGCTCATAATAACAATGGTGGCCAACATGTGTCGCTTTGCTCCCCGTTCCGTTCCCGTCCTTGGACTCATGCCTTTTTTTGCTTTCTCTGATATTTGGAATTAATGATCTGTGCAAATAACAAAAAACCTTTCTTTCCAGTGTGCCTTAACGACCACTTTCCGTTGCGCTGTCTAGCTGTTCGCCTCGTTACGCTTTTTTTCCCCCCTCCTTCTAGGATCTTAAGAAATCAGAATGTCTCTGAGTCCCTGTGCATTCCGAAGATGGCAATGCCGATGTGCAGGAATGCCATGTAGTTTCTGCTCCTTTGTGGGAATAGAATCCAAAATAATGTCCACATATGCCTTACCAAGGCCTGCAAAGCTCCTGGATGCAGGAACTGGAGGGTCCGTTGGGACATTGTGAGGAGAACATGGGATCTCTACTGTGTTATGATTCCCATTTTCATGTCTTGAACATGTGAAGTGTCCTAGATTTGGAGCTTTCATGGTGAGGTCTAGGTCTCCCACTGGGCAGCAAACTTCACCATGGCAGAGACATTACCTTGTCAACCCTAGCAATTGTGCAGAGTGGATATGCTTTTCCTCCCAGTTTCCATCTCCAGGTTCTGCTTCTGTGTAGTTTTCTGACCATGGCTTCCCTGTTTGCTGGTGGCCATCAGGTCTTCCATATGCCGTTGTGTTGTTGCCCATCCTATCATAGAAAACCTTCCCTGTGTTGGTGCTCATTGTGGTTGCATCACAGAAGACATCCCTTCTCCTTTATTTTCCCTATTCCTCAACCTCCACGACGAGAAGGTGCAATTGGATGCCCTTTGTGTGCAACGGGCTTCGATATCTGCTGGGGTTGGGTTATCTAGAACCCTCTCTATGGATACCAAACTCAGGTTCAGTGGTGTCCCAGACCTCAAATGGCAAGACCGAGGTTTGCTTCTTGGATTGTTTTGGAGGGAAATATGGTCAAAACCTTGGGTGGTTGAATCCATGAATATAGAGAGCCAATGGTATAAAGAAAAATATGTTGACCCAAGTGGTAGTTGGCCAATAAGTCAAATAGTCCTTTGAGTAGAGTCTAAGAAGGAAGGAAAGAACCGGGATTTTGAGGAAGGATTCTGGTCCTTATGGAGGGAAAGATATAGAGAACCAATGGTATTAAGAAAAATATGCTGACCCAAGTGGTGTTTGGCCAATAAGTCAAATAGTCCTTTGAGTAGAGTCTAAGAAGGAAGGAAACAACTGGGATTTTGAGGAGGATTCTGGTCCTTATGGAGGGAAAGATATAGAGAACCAATGGTATTAAGAAAAATATGTTGACCCAAGTGGTAGTTGGCCAATAAGTCAAATAGTCCTTTGAGTAGAGTCTAAGAAGGAAGGAAACAACTGGGATTTTGAGGAGGATTATGGTCCTTATGGAGGGAAAGATATAGAGAACCAATGGTATTAAGAAAAATATGCTGACCCAAGTGGTAGTTGGCCAATAAGTCAAATAGTCCTTTGAGTAGAGTCTAAGAAGGAAGGAAACAACTGGGATTTTTAGGAGGATTCTGGTCCTTATGGACGGAAAGATATAGAGAACCAATGGTATTAAGAAAAATATGTTGACCCAAGTGGTAGTTGGTCAATAAGTCAAATAGTCCTTTGAGTAGAGTCTAAGAAGGAAGGAAACAACCGGGATTTTGAGGAGGATTCTGGTCCTTATGGAGAGAAAGATATAGAGAACCAATGGTATTAAGAAAAATATGCTGACCCAAGTGGTGGTTGGCCAATAAGTCAAATAGTCCTTTGAGTAGAGTCTAAGAAGGAAGGAAACAACCGGGATTTTGAGGAAGGATTCTGGTCCTTATGGAGGGAAAGATATAGAGAACCAATGGTATTAAGAAAAATATGCTGACCCAAGTGGTGGTTGGCCAATAAGTCAAATAGTCCTTTGAGGAGAGTCTAAGAAGGAAGGAAACAACTGGGATTTTGAGGAAGGATTCTGGTCCTTATGGAGAGAAAGATATAGAGAACCAATGGTATAAAGAAAAATATGCTGACCCAAGTGGTAGTTGGCCAATAAGTCAAATAGTCCTTTGAGTAGAGTTTAAAAAGGAAGGAAACAACCAGGATTTTGAGGAAGAATTCTGGTCCTTATGGAGGGAAAGATATAGAGAACCAATGGTATTAAGAAAAATATGCTGACCCAAGTGGTAGTTGGCCAATAAGTCAAATAGTGCTTTGAGTAGAGTCTAAGAAGGGAAGGAAACAACCGGGATTTTGAGGAAGGATTCTGGTCGTTATGGAGGGAAACGAATGAGTGAAATCACAGAAAGTAGATATATAGATGTGGTGAAAAAATGACTTGAGTGTAAAGGATCACTCTTCCTGTTGTACACCATCTCAAGCTGCAAGATGAGGCCTATAATAAAATTGTTGTTGTTGTTATGTAGTTCTAACCATCTTCTAGGCCAGATATGGGCAAACTTGGGCCCTC